GGGCGATGGACAGGTGAGGAAAGCCAGCACAAGCACAGGAGGGTCCCTAAGCCTGGGGTCCTGGGGAGGCCGTCTGGCTCTGCAGGAAAGGCCAAGGCCAAGCCATGGCAGGTGGGCAGCTGGTGGAGGAGAACCACAGGCTGGGACCTCAGCGTCCGAGCAGGTCCTGGGTAGGAGGAAGCTCGAACTGGGCACTGGGAGACGGGTCGGGGTGGCCCTGGCGGAGAGGCAGGGCGTGTGGGAGTCCTGGCCGTCGGAGGAAGGGCAGAGGCTGAAGGCAGGAAGAGAGAATGGGAAAGGCGCTCCTCCTAGCAGACAGGTGGGCGGGAGGTGAGGGGCCGGATGGGACCACAGGGCTCAGCCCTGCCAGCGGCAGCTCTGTGGGGAGGACAGGCCAGTGAGTGAGGGAGAACGGTCAAGCCAGAAGGAGAAGTACCCTGGTACTGTTCTGAGTTCTTTTCTTACCCTTAATTTCTTTAGGGTATCAACTCTATTTTGTATTTATTTATTTTTACACAGGAGAAATCAGAGCCAGGCTCACAAAGTTGGGGAGTGATGGGGGGGGTATGCAGCAGAACCCAGTGCTAACCCTACATCGCCACCTTGACCCCTGCCGTGAGGATCCCAGGGAGGTGCAGTGGGCTACACTTGGGGACCACAAACTCATGATGGCTAATTCTGCATACTTCCCTAAGGGATCAATGGAGGCTTGGTATTATCAGTATCATCCATTTGAGATTTCCCATGAACTCATTAGGGATGGGCCATCCTCTCCCATCCACTAAGACTAAAACTAAAACTAAAAGCACTATGTTTAAAAAACACTCCAGGGCAAGGTCCTTCTTAGCATAAGATCATCTCCGCCCTCTCCAGTCAGCCGCTGACCTCTGAGTCTCCTACTGACCTTAAACCCCCCCTAGCCCCGCCTGTCCTGTAGGCACCCTGTTCATAGCTGCTGGCTTGGAGGGTCTTGGTCTCTGCCTGTCCCAGGTGTGGACCTCCCAGCCCACCTCCACGCATTACTAAATTTGTCTCTGTTTCTATTTCATCCTTTTGCTGTACTCCTTATGCAGGCATTTGGGGACCTTGGCCTGGTCCCCGAGAGGTCACACTGATTTTTTTTCCTTGGGGTACCAGGGATCAAACTCATGGCCCTAACACTTGTCAGGCAAGCGCCTACACCACTGAGCTAAATCCCCAGCCCAGGCCACACTGGTTTTTTAAGCTCAGCACCATCCTGCTGGGCTGGAGGATGGTGGGAAGCTGAGCAGGATCCCAAATGAATGTAGCACTCGGGCCTCTGCCCTCGGTCTGTCAGGAGAATCCTCCTGCCTAAGCCACGCTTCCAGCTTTCTCCACAGCCTGCCCGTCCTGCCCTCTGGGAAAACTCTCCTGCTGCCAGCTTCTTGTCAAAGGTCTGGCAGCGGCTCCTTGGTACGCATCTTGGTTGCAGGACCACGGGCAGCGACACAGGGAGAAAGAACACAATGACTACCCAGGCATGCGGATAACACCCACCTGTAATCCCAGCATTTTGGGAGGCTCAGGCAGGAGAACCACAAAAAGCCCAGCCTGGGCAATTTAGTCAATCTAGTAACTTAATGAGACCTAGTCTCAAGATAGAAATTTAAAAAGGGGGTGGGGAGGCAACTCAGTGTGTGAAGGCCTTGAATTCGGTCTCCAGAACCACAAACAAACAAAAATAAAACAACAAACCCCACCACCACCCACCCCATACCCAAATAATGTCAGGAGAAAGAATAGTACAGTGATCAACACAGGGCCGCCTAGCCTCAGTACCCCCTCCGGCCCTAAATGCTTCCAGGGTAAAATTGAGGTCACCTGCAGGGCAGTGGGCCAGCGCCACCTGAGGGATCCACAAACCCCCGGCTGGACCCATCCCACCTAGACAGGGGGCTCCAGGCCCAGGAAAGCGGGGCAATCCGTGTGGCCAGGGTCTGGGTGCAAAGCTGCTCCATGAGCAGGCGGAGGGTGGGCCAGGCCCTGCTCAGAGCCAGCGGGGACAACCAGAGCCACGCTCTCACGCTGTCACGTGGGGAACGGGGTGTTCTCCACAGCCCCTGGCTCGGGAAATCTCCTGGCTTTGTTCCTCAGTTACAAGCAAAAGCAGCACTAGGGGCCGGGGGTTTAGCCAGCGGCGTAAGTGCCTGCTTGGCAAATGTGAGGTCGTTGAGTTCAATCCCCGGCACCAAAAAAAAAAAAAAAAGTAGCACTAGGACCTGCAGAACTTTGCTTTCCTTTGGGTTTGCTGCATTGTTCTGAAAACATCACTGTTCCCATTTACCTCTGCTTCAGATCTGTGAGGCTCTGGCAGGCTCTCCTACTTCATGTATTTGGTTTTTTTTGTTGTTTTATTTTTGTCTTTTTTTGAGACAGGGCTGCATTATGCAGTTCAGGCTGGCCTTGAGCTCATTTTGTAGCCCAGGATGGTATTGACTTTGCAGTGATCCTCCTGCCTCAGCCTCCTGAGTGCTGGGATTACAGGCTTGAGCCACCAGGTCCCGGTTTTGAGGGGGGTGGAATTTGAAGGGGTGGGCAGAGTGACCTGTTGACAGCTGATTGGGAGAGTTTCCGCACACTCACGAAAAGCGGGAAGTTTGAGGTTCTGCCCAGCACCGCGTTGAACCAGGGCCGCGGTCCATGCTGAGCTGGGCCGTGCTTTCTACAGGTGGAATCTGTCACTTTGGCCTGGCAGAGTGCTAGAGTTACAGGTGCATGCCATCACCCCCAGTTTACCGTGCTTGAGAAGGCACTCAGAGCACAGACAGGGCTAGCGCCCCAGCCGAGAGAGTTTCTACTGGCACCCAGATGTGGTCTGGCTCAGGAGGGCAGCTGTCCAGCTGGAACCACCCCCATTCCAGGACCACCTCCTGGGGGCTTGATGGAGACCATAACCATGACAACTCCCTGGGCCGGTCAGTCCAGGGAATGGTGCTGGCCCTCTGATTCCCAGGATGAGAAGTCAGAATCCAGCATGGTGGCGCATGCCAATAATCCCAGCACTCTGGGAGGCTGAGGCAGAAGGAGTTCAGGCTTGAGCCCTGGGGAACTTAGTGATGCCCTGTCTGAAAGCAGGGTTAGAGACCTGGGGGTGCAGCCCGGTGTGAAGGCCTTGTGTTCAGGGAGGCCCAGCGCGGGACAAGCCAGGCGGCTGCAGTGGTCACAGTGTGGCTAGGTCCTGAGAAGCATCCAGCCCTGGCGGACAGCAGAAACCCTTGACATGCTGGGGACACCAGGCCGTTTTGTCTACAGAGCTGGCCTCTGGCCTCTGGCCTGCCCGCTGGAAGCTGGCCCCTGTGTACTTAGGCTGTCCTGGCAGGGAGGGGACAGTTCCTCACCGTCTCCCTGTGTGCCACCCACCAGTTCACACCAGCAAGCTGGCATTGCTTTCTCTTCCTCCAGGCCCCAGACTCTAGTGGCCCTCAGGGAGGAGCTGTGACACCCGCCAGGACAATCCTCTGGGAACATTTCCATCTCTGGCTTCCTTATCTGACCGCTAGACAATGGGGCCACTCTCAGCCACAAGGCCTCCTGAGACCTGCCCCAGGAGTCCCCCAGACCAGCAGGAAGTGACCTGGCTTCCCACTAGGTGTGGCCCAGTGCCCACTGGGGAGGCACAAAGCTGAAATGTCCTTCCCAGTGCTGGGCATTTTCTCCTTCTGGTGGAGAGAAGTGCCAGGTCTGAGGTGAGCCCATGGGAGGAGAATAGCTCTTATCCTGCTGAGGGGTACAGAGGGGTGAGGGAGAGGGTGGAGGGGAGGTTTCTCTCAAGGACTGGCTTGAGCCCACATTTCTGCTCCCCACTGTGCCATCTCACTCAGGGGGCTGCAGCACCACTATAGGGGGACCAGAGAAATCAGAGAAATGCCAAGAGGGCCCTGGGCTATCGGTCACTCAGGCGTGCATTGTCACAGCTCAGGTAGGCAGCAGGTGGCCCAAGCACCCCAAAATGCTACCCATAGAGCACCTGGGGGAGGGGGTGCCCTGTTCCCTGGGGGATCCCTGGGGCAGACTCCTCAAGGGTCTAAGAGGAGGACGGAGGGCCTTCCAGGGGAAGGCAGCCCCAGGCCCGCGTGGGAAGAAGGGTGCAGACCCATCTCTCGGGGTGCAGGGTCTGCAGTGCTTTCCAATACTTTATTTTTAATGTTTAGGTTTGCAGAAAGTTCAGGGGTCCCATACCCGCCCCTCCCATTGCCGTTATTACCCTCTAGCCTCAGTGTGACCTGACATGGGGACACTGTTACTAACACAAATCCACAAGGATCCACAGGTCACTTGGGGGTTCACCCTTGGTGCCGCACAGCCATAACAGCAGCCCACAACAGTTTCACTGCCCTAAAAAGGCTTGGTCTGAGCCTCAGTGTCCACATCTGTAAAGTGAACAGGAAGCCCATCGGGCAGGTGCTAGACACAGGAAGTATGTTTCCCCTGGCACAAGAAGTGGCACTGAAACCAGCCACACGTTTCTCTAAACAGTCACTGCACTCGGGTCAAGGTCAAATGCTTTCGAACACATTGTAAGGTCACAACTCCACACTTGCTGAATCAGAATTCCTAGGACAGCGGGCTCCAGAATCTGAATTTTAACAAGGTCTCTAGGTGCCCAGGGCGGGAGCCCAAGCCCAGGCTCCTCACTGCCCCAGCAAGTGGGAATCAGCTGAACTGAAAGAGCCTGGCCACTTCCGAGTTAATCTCTGGAAAGTTGAAGGATCTCCCAAAACGGAACGGGACGGAGCTGTGCCACAAAGCCAAGGAATGGCCCATTTCCGCCTCCTGGGCTCCCGGCCCACGAGCCCGCTGCCTCCTGCTGCTTATGCTGCACCCACATCTCAGCAGCTGTAGCTCTCTCTGCGCCACCCTCTTGCAGCAGCCAGACACATTGGGGTTCACATGACACAAGGGGGTGTCCCTCAGGCCACCTGTAGTGAGTTGGACAGGCTGACCCAGGTCCTCAGTGTCCTAGCAAATTCATGTCCCCCTGAACCTCAGAAAATGACTTTATTTGGAAATAAAGTTTTTACACACAGATGTGATTCGTGGGGGACCAACACCGGATCATACTGGATTGGTGTGGGCCCGAAGTGCAGGGACCACTGTTCTTACAAGAGGACAAAAGGACAGAGACAAGAAAGGGAGGAATAGACAGCAGACACCAGAGTGGCAGCTGCAGCTGAGGAGAGCCAAGGAGGGCCCAGAGCCACCAGGAGCTCAGAGGAGGCAGGCCAGGGCTCTTCCAGGCCATTCGGAGCAGCCACAGCCTGTGACTTCAGAACTGTAAGAGCACAGATTTCTGTTTAAGCCCCAACATGGTATCACAGCAGCCTAGGAAACTGATCCAGCCCTGTCACAGAGCCCTGGCCAGCTCGGCCCCTGTCCTGCTGCAGTGGGGAAGGAGAGGCCCCGTGCACCGGCCCAACGCAGCACAGCTCGGGTGGTCAGAGCCGCCTCCATGGACATCTTCCAGTTCCGCAGCCACAGCGCCCACGGCAGGCACTCTGTCCTCTGCCTGGAGTGCTCTATTTCGAGAAGAGTTGAGGGTCACTGGTGACCAGTATGCGTCCAGGCGGCGGGCGGGCAGTCACTGCAGCTTCATGCTGCTCTGGCGCCGAGAGTCCTTGCGGGCGATGGGGCTGAAGTTCATGATCTCCTTGTAGATGTGCTCTGCGGAAGGTGGGGTGCTTCAAGGAGGGGCCGGGGTGCTGGGCACAGGAGGGCGGCCACACCCTGGCACTAGCGAGCAACAGGAAACTGATCCAGGCCAGGGTCACCAAGCAGAGAGAGCCAGCTCTGAGAGAAGGGACAGGAGTCTCCGAGCGGCGGCCAGGCGGGCAGAGGAAGAAGGAGAAGCAGAGAGGCTGCAGGCGCTGCCCGGCTCTTACGCTTCCACTCGTCCACCGTGAGCTTCTTGTGCTCCAGGGAGTCATCGAAGGGTTGCGAGGCCTCTGTCTCCTCCTCAGGGTCCCGGAAGGGCTCAAAGAAGGGGTGGGCCAGGGCCTGCGCAGCCGTCAGGCGCTTGTCCACATCCAGCTCCAGGATCTTCTCCAGCAGGTCAGTGGCTGTGGGGACACAGCCATGAGCCCCCTGGCCTGCGCCGGGGACCCCAGAGGCCCAGGGAGCAGCCAGACTCACCCTGGGGGCTGGCATGTGGGAAGAGCTGAGTGAAGTCCTTCTTGGGAGTCTGGGGCAAGGACTGGATGTAGGATTTGGCCTGGAGAAGGAGGAGGATCAGGCCCTTCAGGGCTCAGGGCAGAGCGTGAGGGTTTGTACACGGGAGGCCACAGCGGGATGCAGGCCATGGCGGGTGCGGGTGAACCCCAACAATCCCCAGCCCGGTCAGCCAAGCCCGCCGCTGAGCCCAGCTCGGGCCCACAGCCACTCACCGATTTGTCCTTCAGCTTCTGCACAAAGTCAGCCCCCGGGACTCCGGTCACTTTGAAGATCTGGGTCAGCTGGTCCAGGTCTTGGCAGCGGTTAAGGTACAGCCTCGCTGTCCCCTTCCGCAGCCCCAACATCAATCCCCAGCCACCGTGGCCACTGCCCAGGCCCTGGACCATTTCCTACCTCCGGCTCTCAGGAGAGAAGGCTCAGCCTGCAGACCCGGCACTCCAGAGGGCGTCAGGCCAGGCCAGGAAGGAAGGGTGCTGGCCTTGTGGACTTCCCAGCTACACAGCCACCCTGAATGCTTTCTGCCGTCTCCCCTGACTCCTGACCCTTGCACTGAGGGCTGGGCAGACCCCGAGCCTCCTCACCAAACACCTGCATGACACACACAGCACTCGCTTCTCTTTGTGTGAGGAGATAAATTGGGGGGAATTCTTAGGGCCTTATTTTCTATTGTTTTTTGGTCTTTCTTTTCCTGGGACTGGGAATTTGAACCCAGAGGCTTCACACTGCACTGCATCCCTATGCCCATTTATTTATTTAAAGACAGGGTCTTGCCAAGTTGCCAAGGCTTGACTCAAACTTCAGACCTTCCTGACTCAGCCTTCCCAGTTCTAGGATACAGATGTGCATCACCACATCCAGCTCAGATATGAAGGCCTGTTTGGTTTTTTTTTTTAATTGTCTGGTAGTGGGGATGGAGTCCAAGATGCCCTCTGGTCATTTCATGTACCTGCATTTTAAAATGATTCACAAGGTGCATGGACCCCTGCTGCACAAAGGAGAAGGATGCAAGTGAGGAGTGCATTGAAGGCAGGTCCCCAGACGGACTCTGACGTTTCCAGCAAAGGATACAATCTTTTCCCTTGAACAGGGTTTTCCCCGTCAGCATCTCCGCCATGATGCAGCCCACAGACCAGATGTCCACTGTGGGGTACGGGGGTGGAGGGCATGTCACTGGACAGCTGAGCAAGTGAGCCACCAAGTGATTGCTCCATCAAGTGTCACCTGCTGGCTCAGGGAGCTTCCGGCCCAGCCTGTCCCCGTGGTGGCGGCTCACCTGTCTGGTTGTAGTGCATCCAATTGAGGATGACCTCAGGGGCCCGGTACCAGCGCGTCACCACGTAGCCAGTCATCTCAGGGTCCGCATGCCGGGCCAGCCCAAAATCCAGGATCTATGGCTCAAGGGATACAGGGAGATGGTGCTCATTAAGGACAGTGGGGCAGGGCTCCAGAGCAGATCCGAGGGGCTCTTACCAGACTCCTTCTCCTGATCTCACCCGGCGGGGCCTGTCCACGGCCACTCACCTTCAGCTCACAGTCCTCATTCACGGCCAGGTTCCCGGGCTTCAGGTCCTGGGGGGAGGACAGAGAGGAGCTCTAGGGGGAGGGGCAGAGGTGGCAGATGACCTAGCCTCCAGGCCCCTGCCTCTCCCCAGGCCTCAGTTTCCTCTTATATAATATAAAATAGGGACTGGAGCCCAGTGCGGTGGCGCATGCCTGCAATCTCAGCTCCTCAGGAAGCTGAGGCAGGAAGATCACAAGTTCAGGTTTGCATGATCCTGTCTCAAGCAAAATTTTGGAAGGAGTGAGGATGTGTCTCAGTGGGAAAGCACATGACCACTGTGGACAAAAGCCTGGGTTCCACCGCCAGGAAAGGCTGGGTGACATATTACCCAGGGCCCACCTAGCTCTATAGCGTCTGATTCTTGGAGCCTGAGATCAGTGCCCAGGGTTCATATGTCTCCAGCAACTCCCCACCTGACCTCCCGGGCCTTCCTGGGCCAAGGCTAGGTCTGAAAAATCCACATTGTGCATTTCCAAAAGCTGTACCTTCCCACCACCCTTTCCATCCCGGATGGCCAGGGAACACCAGCTCCCCAAGTGCTGGGGCCCCTGAGGACTGGAGCAAAGACGCACTCACCCTGTGGACGATGCCGGCAGAGTGGATGTACTGGGTGGGGGGAGAAAAAGGGGGTGAATTCAGTGAACTGGTTTCCACGTCTGGTACCATAGGTGCAACCTTCTCCGCCCCATCCCGGGGCGCCCCCTCCAGCCCCCGCAGATCTCTGGTGCCCACTCTAAGCCCCGCACACCTTGAGACCCTTGAGCATCTGGTACACCAAGTACTGGATCTTGTCCTCACTGAACTCCATGCCCATGATCTTCTGCAGGTCCGTCTGCATGAAGGGCATCACCAGGTAGCTGGAAAGCACGGGGGCTTCTTGGCTTGGGCCCCAGTCTCCCCTGGGCCCAGGTCTGAGCTGGGTGGCACAGAGCCGGGGCCTTGCAGAGGCCTCGGATGAGAAGGTGTAGCCAAAGCCAGCCCCTCATGGCCCTCAGGGCTCTGGGCTTCCTGGGAGCCAGGCCGCCAGTCGGCAGAGCTAGGGTGAGCACTGGCACTGGGGCAAGTGTGCACAAGGCAAACCAACAGAACGGTGCTCCTCTCTGCAGAGCTGCCTGCTCCTGGCCCCCCTCAGCTCCCCGCAGCAGCCTGGCTGTGAGCCCCAAGCACCTGCCCTCACTGCCTTTCACTGTTGTCCCCTGAGGGTCGTGGCCAGCTGAACTGCGAGCAGAAGGCCTGCCCTTCCAAGAAGAAAACAATAAACCCGCTCTGAGGAGCGGGAAGAGGATGGTAGGTGGACTGCTGCACCTTCCCTGGGATTTCGAAACAGCTCCAGGGCAGCAGTGTGGAGCTGCTACTCCCGATGGGAACAGCAAAGTCCAAAAGCAAAGCGTGGCGGGTTGTAAAAGGAGTCTGAGAAAAGGGTGTAAGGAGGGCAGCTCCCTGAGCCAGCCTGGCTCACAGACTTGCTGAAGTCTCACTAGACCAGTCACCTTTCCTTTGCTTCCTTTTTTAAAATTGTATTTTGAGACAGGATCTTGTTAAGTTGCCCAGGCGGCCTGGAACTCACGATCCTCCTGCCTCAGCCTCCCGAGCGCTAAGATTACAGGTGTACACTACCACACCCAGCTCTGAGAAACTAGTTTCTGCTTCCTGTCTTCCTTCTACCACCCTGCCTGGCTCGAGGTGACCACTGCGCTCTCTACACACTACAGCGCCCTCTTTCCCTGTCTGACCTTCCCCCAACTCCACTCTTCCTCCAAATTCTCTGCTGACCCCCTCTGACTGGCTCTTACATTGCCCTATTGCTAGGCTTTGTTTATCATCTGTGGGCTGTCCAGCAGCCCAATCCACAAGGCCAGCACAGCCCTCCTCTCCTGAGATGCAGATCTATTTGCAACTGCTGATTTTACAAATTCTGCAAAAGTGAAGTGTCCAACACTCATCTTATTATCTCTCTCCAAGTTCGGTTCCTCCTCTCCCCTGCATTTCAAGCAGGACCTGGGCATCATCTCCTGACCTCATCACAGCCCCCTCCAAACCTTCTTGGACTCGAGGCGGCTGTGGAACTGCGTAAGCCAGCAGTGGCCTCAGCTAGCACCTTAACTTCTCAATATGGAACAAGCAGTCCCGGCCCATGTGGCACTGCACTGGCAGAGCTGGACACAGCTGGGGCTCTGTGGGACTCTGCCAGGCACCACTCCAACCAGGGCAGCCATGCTATGGATCCTTGATTTGTGCAGAAAGAGCCCCAAGCTCCAGACCCACACTTAGACCATAGAGCAGACAGGGGAGCAGACTGGCAGGCACCCCACTCCGCCCACCTGCCTATTTCTGCAGTGCCTCTGCAGTGTCACCTTCATGGCCCAAGGCACAGGGACTGAAGGGCCAGGAGGCCCCACCTGTAAATGAGACCGACCCTCTTGTCTCCTTCCCCAGCAGCAAGAGCTGCAAACACCCAGAAGCCAGTGCGGCCAACTCACAAGTCCTGGAAGTTGCGTGGGGAGGAGGCTGAGGTGAAGACGTCCAGGAGCCCGATGACCTGGGGATGAAGCCACCAGTCAGGGCTGGACAGCACTGCCCTTTCTCTCCACAGGCCCAGCCACTGCCAGGGGCCAGCCACCCCCTCCCAGTCCACCTCCTCCAGCAAGAAGCAGCCCAGCTGCTTGGTTTTAGTAGTAAAGGGGGAAACACGGAAGAGGAAGGGTCCCTGCAGGGAGGGTGACAGTGCTGGAGCTCAGCTGTGGGTGGGGGTGCGTGCCCAAGTCTGTGTTCAGGGCACGTGGCACAAACCCATTCCTCAACTCAAAAGCCACAGGAGGGCAAGGGGAAAGGGAATGAGGTGCAGTGGCGCACACCCCTAACCCCAGCTCCTCGGGAGGCTCAAGACCAGTCTGGGCAATTCAGCGAGATTGTGTCTTAGAACACAGTGCCTGGAGTATAGCTCAGTGTAGCTCAGGTGCCTAATGTGTGAAGCCCTGGGTTCAACTCCAAGTACCAGAGGTCCTTCGGGGTGAAGGGGCCTCTCGGCCACATCTATCCTTGCCTGGCACAGGACTGGTTCAAAGCCAAAGTCAAGATCACCCCTGGTTGGAGGTCACAAGATGGGGCTCAAAACACGATGGGGCTCAAAATTCTCACAATGGTTAAAATCACGATTTGAAACATTCGCCTTTCTAATCCTAGAATCCTGGATCCTAGGCCCAAGCTGGGTGACTGGGTTTTCTAGTTCTGTCCACCACACAGGACAGTGTCATGGTCATGCATTCTGGCCTGGAGCCAGGCTGCCTACATGCAAATCCCAGTTCTGCCTACTGACTGACTACATAACCTAAAAGCCATTCTGTGCCTCAGTTTCCCCAGGTGTGACATGAGGCTGCTGGTATTTATCTCATGTGACGCTGGGAGGATTCCACAAGTTAGGTGACACAAAGCTCTTATGACAGCGCCTGGCACACAGTGAGTGTTCAATGAGGATCTGTTGTCATGAGGGTCACTCTCAGGTGGAGATGACACTGCCCTGATTCTGGTCTCAGCTCACCCCAGGCTCTCTGAGACACAGAACAAACCCCCAAGTTCCTCTGTGCCTATTTCTTCATAACAGTCAGGCAGTCTGTACCTCCCAAAACTCAATCTGCCAGAAATGCCGCCTGTACCTTCCCTGGAAGTGTGCAGGGCAGGTCCCCACACCCCTTGTTTTACTAATCAAGTAAGAAGCTAGGACTGGGGAGCAGGAAGTTCTTTTTCCTGGCCCCACCAAGAGCTCCTAGCACCCCGGGCCCGGGGCCAGAGCCATTTCTGGGTCTCTTCTCCCTCCTCCTTCTCTGACTCCCAAGCACACTACCAGACCCCCAGACCCCCAGACCCCCAGCCCGCCCCAGGACGTTCAGCCTACGTTCTCATGCTGCATGTGCTTCAGCAACCTGAGCTCGCGGTAGGCCCGCTTGGCGAAGATCTCAGACTGGAAGGGCCGGCTCAGCTTCTTGATGGCCACCTTCTCCCCTGACCGCTTGTCGATGGCGGAGCTGCAGAGCAACAGGTAACTCTCAGGTCACCCTTGCTCCTGCACCCCGACTTGGTCAGGAGACCAGGCTGGGAGGAGCTGATGCCCACCATGGCGTGTGGACCCGGAGGGTGGAAGCTAGGCAGGAAGCAGTGCGGAGGGGGTGGCACTGTCCTGGGGTGGCATTTTGATGCCAAATCGTCCTGAGCAGGCCAGGAGTCTCCCTCTGCAACTGGGCAAGCTCCTTTCCGCTCTGGGGGCCTCAGTGTCCTCATCTGAAGCCAGGGGCATCTGTCCGAGGCGCCTCCGGGGTCCCTCCCAAGGTTACAGCCTGGAGATCCAGTCCTAATCCGATCCCGGGAACCGTCTCCCCAGCAGCCAGGGCTGCACCGATAGCGCGCCCCAGGTGGCCCCAGCAGCCCGCGCGCCCGCCCTCCTCTCCACCGCACTTCCCGGGGAGCTGCGCCTCCACCCCTGCCACGGCGCGCCGGGAAGGGCGCGGGCCGTGGGGTCCTCGGGCGGGGCACTCAGAGAGTGGACGGCCAAGGAAGCGCCGTCGGGGCGCAGAGGGGTGCGGCGCCCGCCAGAGCCCCCCCGCCGAGGTCCGCGCCCGGCTCACCACACGGCGCCGTAGGCTCCACTGCCGATGTGCGTCGGGGACGCGTAGGTCTTGGGCAGCTCCCAGGCCGTCTTGTTGACATCCTGCTTGTAGAAGCCCTTTTTCCGGATGAAGCTCATGCCGGGCGCCAGAGTTCGGCGGCCCAGCGCGGCGGCGGTGGCACCTGCCCGCAGGTTCCCAGCGCCCCGCCCCGCGCCGCGCGCTCCTCCCCGCCGGGGCGGGGACACCTGCGAGCGTCCCACCTGCTCCGCGGCCGCCAGATGCGGCGAGCAAGCCCCGCCCCGCTTGAGACCACGCCCGCAGACACGCCCAGTCTCGGCCCCGCCCCGTCCTCGGCCACGCCCCCTCCCGCACTTCCGCCCAGCACCTGGCAGCAGAGAGTTCTCAATTTCTTTTCTACCTGCTGCAGGAGTTCTCAATTTCTTTTTCTTTCTTTTCTTTTCTTTTCTTTCTTTGGTTCGAACTCCAGATCGCTTGCCAGGCAAATGCTTGTACCCCTGAGCCACATCTCCAGCCCGCCACGCCACCTGCTGGACGAAGAGCTCCGGAGTTTGAAGCCAATGTGAGGACACTGAACCCCACAACTAGTGGGGCTCTTAGGAGCTGCCCCCACCTCAGTCCTCGGCGTCAGCGATTCCATCAACTCCGTCAACTTTATTTCATCCGCATTCCTTTTCCTCGGTTATTTTGAAGCCAGACTCAGGCACCAAATCAGTTTTTTTTTTTTCCTGTTTGTTTGTTTTTTTAACCTCTAAAAGATAACGATTTTTGCTTGGTGTGGTGCCGCACGCCTGTGATCCCAGCACTTAGGAGGCTGAGGCAGGAGGATGGCCAGGAGTTAGAGGCCAGCGTGTGCTACACAACAAGACCTTGTCTCAAAACAAAAACAAAAACAAAAATGTCGGATTAAAAAAAGTATCATTCTTATACCTAAAATAAATAGCATTCATTTTCTGAAAGTCGGTGTCCGTGCAGGTACAAATTTCCAGTTTTCACCAGTTTTTGCTGGTTTCTTAATGCCATAGGGGATTGAAACTGATGTATTAGAATGAAACTCCTGACCTACTATATGTCCGGAACGAGTACGTGTTCTCTAAAATCAAAGAATGAATTTTAGGAACAATGGAGGTTAAGAGCAGAATATATTTATTGAGAGAAAGAAAGTCTCTATCTGAGAGAGACAAAAGGGGTCCTGAGCAGGTTGCCAGGGACTCTCTTTTCTAGGAACTTTTATAGAGTAAAACCATGAGGTTAAGTGGGTCAAAGGTGGGGAAAAATGGGAATTTGCAAGGTGGGCATAAGGCGGGACAGAACTGTGGCCAACCAATAAGATTAATTTCTCAGGTAAAATTGATTAAATTAGGAGCCAATAGGGAGTGAGTCATGTAGTAAGCACACAAGCTTAACAGAGTGACCCTTCCTGTAGGAGGTGGGAGGCAGACTCCTGACTTCTCAGGGGTGATAGAGAACTATCTGGACTGTGGATCCTTAGGAAGCGGGTGTATTTGCTTTGCCTCTTGTCTTGAGGTCTGGCCCACAGCAGAGGTGATTGTCTCTTCCAAGGCTGCAGGGCTCTGAACTTCTGCTGGCTCCTTTGAAGGCCCAGCCCTGTCTGACTGCCTGTAGTATTTCTAACTCAGATGCCTATAACAATATGACAAAAATTACAAGGGCCGTCTGCCACCGTGCCTAGTGGCTTGTGAAGCCCAAAGGAGATTCTGTTTTTAAATTAAATCACAAGGGCTCCCAGGTGACAGGTGAGGCGTGAATGGCCACAGTGCCCGGGCTCCCCGGCCTGGAGATGGGACAGAGAATCAGAATCTGGGTGAGGGGACCTGCTTCATTTGCCAGAGGGAGACAAATGCCTGTTGGTTTTTGAGGCACTGGCGATGAAACCCAGGGCCTCATGGCTCCCTCACCCCTAGTTGTACTTTTTAACAGACACAGCAGAACATAAAGTTGTGCTAATTTATTTATTTTGCCATACTGGGGATTGAACCCACGTCTTCGCACAGAGCTACATTCCTAGTTCTGTTTTTGTTGATTTCTTTTGTTTTTGTGACCCATCCGAGTTGCCAAGTTATCTAAGTTGGGCTTCAAATTGCCATCCTCCTGCGTCAGCCTCCCATACAGCTGGGATTGCAGGTGCGCCCCACCTTGCCCAGCTGAGACGGCTTGCCTGCGGCCTGCAGCATGTCCAGAGGCTGCACAGAGAGACCTGCACCACACCCTGTGCACAGCCCATTTTGTCAGGTGTATCCAGAGACCCCATTTAGGGAGGGGACACAAGACCCACAGAAGTCCCGCCCATGCATTGCGTGAGGTCTGTCACCTGCATCTGCCTGCATCCCCGGCACACCCTCGGCTGCTGGTAACCCATGATGTCTGGGTTATGAGCGTTGCAGCCAGGCCATGGGCTGGAGGCCCTCTCGTCTCAGGAGCACTTGTGTCATTGCCACACGGCCCTCAATATTCTAAGTGTTTACGCGCACAACTCAGTCGTGATGAGAGGTCTGTGGGTCAGGATCAGAGGTGCCGAGGGGCTCAGTCCGTTGCCCTGGCCACGCGGCAGGTGAAGGGGCAGAGCTGGGCGCTATGAGGCCAGGCTGGGCAGGGGCCCCGAGAGGACACTTGTTGCTGTGCCATGGACACCACCTCAGCCCCATCAGGACAGGGCCACTGGCCGGACCCCAGGGTAGCCAACTCACCCCTGCCTCTTCTCTACCTTGGCCTGGAGACCCTGCAGGGAGAGAAGGGAAGCCGGGACAGATCTAGTGGTCCCAAAGCTGGGCGCAGGGGACAGAGCTGTCCAGCCGACTGGAGGTTTTTCCCGGGCAGATATTCCAGGGGGGATAAGGCTGGGCCTTGTGCTTGCCACGGGCCAGGGCTGGAGTCTCTATGGGGTGACAGAGGTGAACCCAGAGGTGTGAGGAATAGCAGAGAGGCCCCCTCTAGACATAGGGGGGTGGTCATCCTTCCAGACCAGCTGGACACCTCTGCAGCAGGGTCAGGAAGTGACTCAAGCTGACACTAACCCCGACACTAACCCCACCTCGGGCCCTGCTGGGCCTGTGTTTACTCAGCGGCCCGCAGGGGAGGGAAGCAGTGTGGGGTCCAGCCAGAGACGTCACTGTCCTGGTGGGAGAGGAGAAGAGCAGGAGGAGGTCACCAGAGGCACCCTGGAGCCCTGTCCCAGGCTGAACTCTTCCCCCTGAGCCCCAAGACCCCTGAGGTCCTCTCCTGCCAGCCGCTGCCTCAACACCTCCTCTGGCCCATTCAAGAGGAAGAAGGGTGTGGGGCCACAGCCTGAACTGAGCCAGCTCAGTCACCACCTTTCCTGTAACCTCGGGCAAAGTCCTAACCCTCCCGAGCTTCCGTGTCCTCATGAAACAGTGACAGTAAGCAGGACAGATATGCATGCGCCTCCGGTGTATGACAGGCTTACTCCAGAGAAGCCCACTAAAGTTGAAAAGGCTAAAAGATGAACACCCTGAGGCTGGGAACATAGCTCAGGGGCACATTTTAAAAATCGTGGCCAGGCACAGTGGTGCATATCTGTACCCCAACACTGGAGAGGCTGAGGCAGGAGGATCACCTTGAGTGCAAGGCCAGCCTGAACTGCATAGTGAAATTCTGTCTCAAAAAGACCAAAATAAAATAAAATCTTGCCCTCAAGGAGGCAAAGAAACAGTCAGATTAGCCTTCTCCTGGGGACTTCTGGGCATTTCTGTCTTTTGGACATGTTCACGCTTCTTGTGTGTTCAGAGGGAGCGGTTTTTGGTTTTTGTCTTGACCTCCCCTGGTGACAAGTGACCTCGTGTGATAGTGACGTGTAAGGCACTGTCTGTGTCACAGAAGCACAGGGGACTGTGCTCTGCCAAGCCACCCAGGCTGGCTGAGGGGTCCTGGCAGCTTTCATGTCTGTCACACAGAGCGACCATGGCCTGCAGAGCTTGCGGAAGCGGCCTGAGGCATCACAGGACCACACAACCTGACCTTCTCCAGCTCCTGGGTCTGTGTGGGACTTGCTGGTGCCTGGCCATGCTGGGGAGTGACCGTCACCTTCCTGGCCTGGCTGTGAGCTGCTGCAGAGTAGAGAACTGGCTGGGACCTCCCAGATGGAGAAAAGACCCCACACAGCGGACTCCACTGCCTCGGGGATGCGATGGAGCAGCTCCCAAGGCCACCTCCGTCTCAAACACAGGGCCGGTGCCCACACCCTCGCCACTCCTGGCCTCACACACCAGGCTCTTCGGCACAGGACCGGCAGGGAGCCTGGGGCGCTGGCCCAGCTCCTGTCCCAGCACAGGTTAACAAGCCCCCCACCTCAGTTTCTTTCCCTGTAACATGGCAGGGGATCATAGTGCCCAAGTCACAAGCCACTGCAAGGCCAAAAGAGTTGACCTGAGGAGGGCCTGACTCAGTTCTGGGCACACAGTAGGTGTGCGACAGATGCTGGAACTCATGGCGGGGAGCTGATCCTGCCTGGCCCGGCACCCTGGCCCTTTGTCTCTGCACGGAGCCTCTGTCTGGCTCTGCCTCCCATCCAGCTCCTTCGTGGAGTTTTGTGCCAAGCACTCACCTGATCCAAGGATTTCTTTACCCATCCACTCAGCATCTGCTTCCCTCAGGTCCACTGTGGGTCAAGGGCAGAGAGGAACACAAAAAAGGAACAAATGAAATTCCCTGCCTCACCAGGCACGATGGCACACGCCTGTAACCCCAGACCTCAGGAGGCTGAGGCAGGAAGATTGCCACGAGTGTGAGGCCAGCCTAGTTGAGTTCAAGGTCCATCCGAACTGCATAGTAAGACCTGGTCTCAAAAAAAGGAAAAAAAGTAAATCAACTGGTCAATCAGTGAATAAAAATCCCTAATTCGGATGCAGGTGAAAAGCAGCTAAGAACTGCATAGTTTGGGGTTTATGAACTTGGTGATATTTAACCATTTGATACGGTACAGCCAGATGGTCTCGCAGGTGGTGTTAAACGCTGAGTCAGCATCAGAACTGGCGCCTACAGGAGTGGAAAAAGCCACCAACCCGGTGGGGGGGTTTCCTCATTCTGTCCCCACGTGACCTCACACAACGCGTCTGAGCACCTGGAGAAGGTGCCGCCCCTCCTGCGTGGCCCTCGCCTCTCCTTGTGCTCCCCACTGCCTCCTCCGTCCCGTCCCGGGGCTCGGGCTGGTCAGCAGGACTGGGGTCGCAGCGGTGCACCCCTCACAGGACCCAGCCTCTGCCCAAAGCATTCGGAACTGGGCAGGCGC